TGATGCCCATTTATGCCTTCATGGATCTCGGCCAGGGCGTATTCAGCCTCATTTTTACTTAGGCATTTAAGCATGGGTGTATAGAAACTTTTTTTGTAGATCTGGCCTTCCACAATTATGAAATAAGCCGAGTTCTTCACTAGTTTTCTGGCTTCTTCGGTCTCATCGGGGAGACTTCCTTTCTCTAAGTAAGCGACTATTGGCCTTCTCCAGTCTCCATTCTCGGTTATAACCATGATGCAGGTCGGCTTCGGGATGCTCTACTGTATGACCGTTTGATGATTTCCCAATCCTTTCGAGCTGGCGAGCTTTGACAGGATGTCCGCTCTGCTGTTCTCATTTCGAAGTATGTACTGGACCACCGCCTCATCGAACTCGACCAACAGTTCTCTAACTTCTTGGAGGTATTTCATCATTAGTGGTTCTTTAGCTTGATATTTTCCTTCGACCTGCGAAGTTACCAGCTGTGAGTCACTGAGGATTTTTATCCTTCTTGCTCCGTGCTTTTTTGCATGTACAATTCTTGCGATGAAAGCCTCATATTCAGCTTGGTTATTTGAGGTCGAGAATGCAAGGTGAAGTGAGTGTTCAATGGACACTCCCTCCGGGCTTTCAATTATCACCCTGGCTCCGCTCCCCTTAGAGTTTGACGATCCATCGACGTATATTGTCCAGAGGTCTTCATTTTCTTTTTCTTTCCCTTTGGACGGGGTTAGCTCCATGATGAATTCATCCAATGCCTGAGACTTGATTTCCTACCGGGGTTCATACGATATGTCGAACTCTGAGAGCTCGACGGCCCAGTTGATCATCCTCCCAGCTAGATCCGGCTTATGTAACACTTTTCTGATGGGTTGGTTGGTTCTTACGATCACTCGATGCCCTTGGAAGTAAAGTCAGAGCCTTCTTGCCGTGGTAAGCAAAGCAAACGCCAACTTTTCAAGCTTCTGATACCGAAGTTCAGGTCCTTGTAGTGTCCGCCCTACAAAATAGATCGGCTGTTGTCCATTGTTAGTCTCGCTTACTAGGGCGGCGCTAATGGCCTCTTCACCCACAGAGAGGTATAAGATCAACGTCTCTCCGGGCTCTGGCTTTGACAACACAGGTGGAGTGGCTAGGCATCTCTTTATTTCTTTAAATTCCCTTTTGCAATCTTCTCCCCATCTGAATTCTGCCTCCTTTTTTAGGAGCTTGAAGAAAGGCAAGGCTTTTTTTGCCGACCTGGGCACAAACCTGGTTAAGGCCGCTAGGCGACCTGTGAGCTGCTGGATTTCTTTTTTGCTTTCAGGTTGTTTCATCTCAAGGACGGCCTTGCATTTGTCAGGGTTGACTTCAATTCCCCTGTTGGTGAGCATGAAGCCCAAGAACTTCCCAGCTAGTACCCCGAAAGCGCATTTGGCCGGGTTCAATATGATTTTCCGAGCCCTCAATTGCTCGAAAGTTTCTCTGAGGTCGGCTACATGTGTAGTTATGTGCACCGACGTGATGATCATGTCGTCAATGTACACCTCTAGGTTCCTTCCAATTTGATTTTGGAAGACACGGTTCATCATCCTTTGGTAAGTCGCCCCAGCGTTCTTGAGGCCGAACGACATGACGTTGTAGCAGAAATTTCCTTTTTCCGAGATGAATGCGGTCTTCTCGTGGTCATTTGGGTGCAGTGAGATTTGATTGTACCCAGAGTACGCATCCATGAATGACAGTAGTTGAAATCCTGATGAATTATCAACTAGATGATCTATGTTAGGAATCATGTATGAGTCCATTAGGCAGACCTTATTTAGGTCAGTGTAGTCGACGCAGATTCTTCACTTCCCACTAGGTTTCTTCACCATCACCACGTTGGACAACCAAGTGGTGTATTCTATTTCTCTAATGAAGCCAACTTCTAACAGCTCGTCCACATGTTCGTTCAGAGCCTGACGTCGATCAGGACCTATTTTTCTCTTCTTCGGAGACACTGGTTTCGACCCAGGGTACATAGAAAGCTTGTGACAGCAAAATGTTGGGTCTATTCCCGGGATCTCCGATGCCTTCCATGCAAACACGTCGGAGTTCTCATTGAGAAAGGAGACTAACTCCTTCTTAACCTCGGCCTCCAGGTCCTTTCCCACTTTGGTGTGTCCTTTTCCATCCTCCCCAATATTGACGTCTTCCAACTTTCCTTGGGATTCTGAACTAGGTGCTTGGAGCTCCTCCCTCATGTCCAATTCGACCAAGTTTACTTCGTTTCCATATGGGTATATCGACTGGTCTCTGGTGGGGGCTTTACCTCCGTCTCTGATTCTAGGGGAAGATGACGGCCCTCCATGATTGATCCTTAAAGTCTCGTAATAGCACTCCCTAGACTCTTTCTGATCTCCTCTTATAGTGATGACCTCATTTTTTGATCCCACCATCTTCAGTGCTTGGTGTTTGGTGGAGACTAACATGTCCCACTCGTGGATTATAGGTCGGTCAATGATCACATTGTAGGGGGAAGGTGCATCTACTACCACAAACTGAACCCTTCCAGCTCGGAACGATTCTTTCGTCCCCAAGGTCAGCTTCAAGTCTATATATCCCTTTGGAAGGGATGGCTCTCCGTTGAACCCAATCAGCTTAGTGGCGCAAGGTTTCAGGTCTTTTTCATCCAAGTTCATCTTTTGGAAAGCGTTCCAAAAGAGTATGTCTGCCGAACTTCCATGGTCAATGAAGATTCTCTTAACCCGGTAGTTAACTAGCACCCCTGTAACCACCAAACCATCAGTGTGTCCAGGTACGACCATTTCTAGGTCTTCTTGAGTAAAGAACAGTCTTGGGGGAGTAGGGTTGCTGACTCTTCCTTTGAAGGTCGGTCTGTCTTTAACGGACATGACCTCCTTTAGGTACTTTCTTCTTACATTTGCAGTATCACCTCCTCCACCCAAATCTCCACTTATCACATTGCACTCAAATTCAGCTTCTTGAACTCCTCATCTTTATCTTCGACCTTTTTTCCCTTTGGAGGACGGTCTTGTTCCCAATTTTTTATCTCCTCCCTCTTAGGGCTGTGACTTCTGCTCCGGCTTCTTTGCCTTCGCCTGCTGTTCTTCTTGCCCTGAGTCCGGATAATGTATTGCTTCAATTTCCCCTCTCAGATGTGTTTCTCGATACCATCTCGGAGATCCCAGCAGTCATCCGTGATGTGACCGTTCTGGTCATGGAAAGCACAGTATTTGTTTCTGTCCAACCCGCTCTTGCTCTAGAGGGGTTGAGGTCTCTCAAAATTACGCATCTCGATCTGAGCCACCTCTTTCCATATCCGAGATCTGGACATGTTTAAAGGTGTGTAAGTGTCATACTTGGTCCTTTGAGATCGGTCATTCGATCTCTTGTCATGAGAGTCGTTTCCTTTCTTCGATCCCCGCTGATCCTGGTACTTTTTCTTCTTGCTTGGGCTCCGGCGATTCGGGCTTCGTCCTCTAGACTCTCCATAAGCCTTCTGCATGTCTTCAACATCTATATATTTGAGTGACCTTCGTCGGAACTCCTCCATATCGTTGACCAGGTTCTTATAGATTGACTTTGCGAGTGGAGAGTCGCCATCTAATCCTGAGATGATCAGATGCAAGTGTACTGGTTCAGTTAGGTTCCGGACCTTGAGGGCGGCATCTTTAAATCGATCGAGGTATTTCCTCAATGATTCATTCTCCTTTTTCCGGATTCTTCCTAAGGCATAGGCCGGCATCGGATGTGCCTTACTCGTTGCAAAATTCAGACGGGAAGTTCGAGCTAGGTCCTCGAACGAATCGATCGAGTTCTCGGGGAGCCTTGTTATCCATGCCATTGCCTGACCTGTCAATGTCGTCGTGAAGATTCTGGCCTTAATAGGTCTAGTTATCCCGTTGAACAACATCTCAGTCTTGAAAGCGTCTAAGTGGGCATCTGGGTCTTGACTTCCGTCATATGGAGGTATCCTGGCACTTTTGAACCTCGGTGGAATTGCCAAGTTCATGAGTCTTTCAGTTAATGGACTATCACTAGCCTTCTCATCATAGAGATAATTATCTCCTTGGTTTTTGACCAGTCCTCCGCCTTCTTGGTGGTTGCCATGGCGAGGGTTCCGCACAGTCTCGGTTGTCGTGGCCGTGTTCTGTTGCTGCGGCCCGCCAGTTTCAACTTGGCCTGCTCCTCCAGCTCGGCCTTCAGTGTTATGGTTTCGTAGCTCAGCCTCCAATTCCTCCATCCTCTGGGCATCCAACCTTTGTTGAGCTAGGAATCTGTTCTCAATCTCTTGCATCCTTTGAAGGATTGCATTCATGGCCCTAGTGGCCACATCCCTAGGCTGATCATTCTATGGATGTGGGCGTGTTGTCTCCACCGACGCGTTGGTCTGGGCTCTGAAGGGAGGCACTTGCGTGCCGACTTCTCCGACCTGGACATCCACCAACACAGGAGACACTGTTGATTGGAGATGTTCCAGCGCAGACACGTTTGGCGGCGGCTGGGCAGTGCTGGAGGTCGAACGGGTGTTCGTCATCGTGGAATGGGAATCGAAATTTATCGTTCCCACAGACGGCGTCAATGTTCGGTCCTAGAAAAACCGTATTGCTATACCGTATGGTACGCGCTCAGAGATACCGTAAGAATAGGTATGTATCTGGCCTATGACCAATATCCCAATCACTGCGCACAAGCAATAGGCTTATACCCAGGACGTGGGTGTGTGCACAGTGTTGGCAGTAATAATAATTAGGTTCAAAGTGTGTACCTAGGGTCTTTAGGCTCTTATTTATAAGGATTACCTTCCTAGGCTTGCGCCTTTGAGATCTCCCAGATTGCGTTAGGATTCAGCTCTCTTTCTGTTGTGATAAGGTCCTTATCTTGAGTATTTAATTGCTTAATATTGTTGTGATAATTATGTATTTATCTCTTAGTGGATTCTTAGGTGAGTAGTTAGGATATGATATATATAACACTGTATGGCAGAAAAACATAAAGAGAAATACTAGCGACAGAACAAAACATTTTTCAATTACCAGAGATTTTATCTGCAAAACCCAGGGTGCGAAACAGCTCTACGGCTTGTTTGTGGTGAGCTGCAAATTCAAAAAGCCTTAAAACTTCGTCTTCATCAAATAAAGAAACTAATCCATAAATTGATAGCAGCAGTAGAAAACCCAGAACCATCGAAGAATTTTCAATACTTGCTTTCATGTTAGCTTTCAAATCAAGAGCTAGCTTCATTGCTTCTAATCTTATTTGAGGTTTAACATGAGGTGAGATTCTCATTAATTGTTCCAGCAAAAAGATGTGGCTGCCATCAATAGTTATAGCATTATCTCCCTCTCTACACAGTGGAACAATGGGGTTCTGAATTATATCCAAAACGAGTTTTGCTGGATCAGATGATGCTTGGAGATTAACTATAATGTCATTGTCAAGCGCCTCTAGTTCATCTGTTGAATATAAAAACTCAAGAGAATATAATATGAAAGAATGTAAAATCTCACAAGATTGAAATGCATAGGTGACAGGAAGACAACTCTAGTATACTAATATTTACAACCAATATCATGATAGCACTATAACTGAATCATTAGACATTGTATAAGATCGACTAAAGGACAAGAAGAGAAAGAGGATGCACTAAAAGGACCTATTAAGTGCCTTTATAGTTTGTCTGGAAATTGAATCAATATTGTAACTTAGAAGCTTTACACTAATTGCAGTACCATGATATTAAACCACTTAGCCAAGGATACAATGTAAATTTTTATGGTTTAAGAGCTTCTACATGTGTTTAGAAAGGAGGAAGAGGGTATATATATATATATATATATATATATATATATGTCTGTGTGTGTGTATAAGAAAACAAGAGAAGCCTTTCAATTTGACTAATGACATACAACATCAACATGATTAAAGAGATTTTTTACAGAATAGGTAGATCTGGTGAATAAAAAAATATCAACATTATTAAAAGAAACAGTTGAAATGGAATTGTTTCAACAAACTAGATAAAGAAGAACATTTACCTGAATCTTTTCCCTCTTCAAATGATTTTATCAATGATTCATATTGGTTTTCGTTTAACTCAAGCTCCTCCGGTTGTCCTTCAAACTGCTTCTGTTTTGACTCGAGCTCCTTCACTTGCTCTTCAAGTTCCTTCGTTTGTATTTCAAAATGCTTCTTTTCCAATTCAAGCTCCTTCAATTGGCCTTCAATTTCATCCTTTTCTGATTTGAGATACTTCACTTGGCCTTCAAGCTTCCTCTCTTTGGACTCGAGCTCCTTTACTTGGCCTTCAAGTTGCTTCTCTTTTGACTTAAGTTCCTTTACTTGGCCTTCAAGTTGCTTCTCTTTTGACTTAAGCTCCTTCACTCTTCTTTCAAAGTGCTTTTCCTTTGACTCAAGCTCCTTCACTCTTCCTTCATCATGTTCACTGATTGCCTTCTGCACCATTTCACATTTTTCCTCCTTTAACCTCAGCTGCCTCTCGCTTTCACTAATCAGCTTCTGTAACGACTTGAGTTGCTCTCCCTTCGCTTCCAACTCTCTGTTGCGTTCTTCAATATCTCTCTCTAGTTTGCGCAATCTCTTCTCTTCAACTATTCTCTTCATTTTGCAATCCTCAATGGATTTTTCAACCAATGCAAGTTCTCTCTCTTTGAATTTTTTCTTTACGGAAGATGATTTATCAGCAGATATGGCTAACTTCTTCAATCTCTGGGAAACAGGAATATCATGATCATATGTTGTTGTCTTTGACTTCTTAACCGAAATGTTCAAGGAAATGCTGTTGTTGTCTAATGGTCTCTTAACTGGCATTGTTATAGAACCCTTCTTAACAGAGTCATCACAGTTTCTGTTAGAAGTTCCCAAATGAGAATTCTGGATTAACCTTTCTGACAAAGGGATATCATCATCATCAGATTCTTCAGAAGATAAGTCAACAACAGCATCAACAGGGGTTTCTTTGTTATGGTGGTTACATTTCATCTTCAATCTAAAACTCAATGGTTTTTTATCCTCCTTTACATCAATGGGCATTTTCTGTTCCATAATAATAGGCTTTGATTTTGGTTTTGAATTTGCTTTATCAGAATCCTCAACAACCATATTCAGCTATGGAAACTGATGGCAATGGCATCCACCACACAACATAAAATCCTGGTGAAAAAGTTGAACTAAAAATATGAAAATTCATCCAATCCAATCACTCTTAGTTCAAACTATCATAAGGCAAGAAACTAACTAACTACTTCATAAGTATAAGAAGAAACTAACTATAAGCATGAAGCAGCACTACACATATACACTTAGTCCTCGTAACAAAATGTGAATGATAAATAGAAGGCATGAAAATGAAAAAAAAAAATGAAGAAAAAGAAGAAATAGTGTTGTTACAGATTTACCTCAAAAGCAAGAATGAATGAAAGAGGAATGTAGCAATACCTTCCGTGGATATGGAGAGAAAGAAGGTGAAAATAAAAACAGGGGAAACAAGATGGAATGCAAAACAGGCCCTGAGTAAGTTTATGATTCTGCTTTTTAGTTTAGAATTCTACTTTGCAGGATCTGTATCGCTTAACCCCTTCAGTTTTTTTTTTTTTTTTTTTTTTTTTTTTTTTTTTTTTTTTAATAAAAGATACAAAATGAAGAAATGGGAACTGGGAAGGGAATATTTCTGTGTTTGATTTGGAGTTAAGGAAAGGGTTTTTTGTGGAAATATTTCTTTTCTTTCTTTTTTTTATCCACATTCCAAATAAGGGAGTATCACACTCACGGGAGTGGAATTGGGATACTCTTTCCTGAAAATGGACCTGTGCACTTGGAATTGAGCTCTATTGTATTAAATGACCAACGCTACGGTGTACTACAAGATTTTACCCTATCTATTAACACGCACGCAGTTCACCCAATCTACAATCCGTTTTCTTCCACTAAGTATCATAGTTGCTTTGGCTTAATTAAAGCAAGATCCGTGCAAGCTTAGATCTATTCCTAGCAAGAAAGGTTTGTTTACATATGAGTAAAGCTTAAAATTCAAGTAGGTAAGGTGTCAAATTTTTTAAATTAATATTTTATCGGGAGCTATTCTTTTTTCAATAGTTGGCTCAAGTCCTAAGGAGTTGGAACCTATGAAGCACTGATACCGATACGGCATTTTCAATACGTTCCTGATACGTGTGTCCAATACGTTACTTCAAAAATACTAATATTTCGATACGTTCCGATACGTCTTAGTATTAAATAATATTTTTAATATAGTACTTCACATTAACAAAATATAATAAAATCATAGGCACAGATATAATAACAATATGTAAATAAAAATATAAGAATATACAAATATAAACAGATTTATATAAATATAAACATTAAATATAAATATAAATACAGAATTTTTATAAACAGAATATAAATACAAATAATATGTAAATAGAAATTTATATACAAAAAATAATTATTAACTACTCTTTCAAAAATATTAACACTCATCTCCTATTATAAAAATTACATAATAAAAAATAAAAAATATAAATACAATAAAAATAAAAGGCAATCCTTCATTCACTTATTACCTTCCGTGCGTGAGTGAGCAGCGAGTCAGCCACCGACAAAAAAGAAAGACGATGGAGCAGCGACCGACAAGGAGGAAGAACGACGATGGATGGAGGTCGGAGGATGAACAGCTACTACCGACAGCCAAGAAGGAAGAAAGATAGAGGAGAAACAGCTACCACCGAACAGCTACCAACGAAACCGTGGAGGAGTCGAGCAGAAACAGCGACGGCCGACGGCGGAGGAGGAACAGCAACGGCAAACCAGCGACGGCCAACGGCAGAGGAGGAACAAGAATGACGTTGTGGCGTGTAGGTCTGGACCAGGTGAGAGTTCTTTAAGGTCGTCTGATGAGATTCAATCGACTTGGGTTCTTTTTGTCAAAAAAAAAAAAACACGTTTTATTTTTTAAGAAAATTACTAAAGTGCCGTTGACCCATTTGATACGTAAAATATGAGTATCCTAACGTATCCGTATCGCACGTGTGTCCGATACGTAGAATTTTTTTTTTTTTTTTTGCGTATCCGTGCTTCATAGGTTGGAACTCTCTATTTTGGTGCAAGGCTCAAGGAACATATCTTTTGAGTGAGTGATTTAATATTTCTCCATAAACGAAGGTGCAAGACTCAAGGGATATATCCTTTGAATGGTTCAATATTTCTCCATAATTAAAGATCTAGAATCATCTCTTTCCCTTATATAAGCTTATAGTGTGTAAGGTTTAGTGATGTGGAAAAAGAATTTTGAATACTTCTAGAGAGAGATGTTTGAAGTAAAATATCTCTTTAGGAAAGTTTGAGATTATCACCATTGTAGGTAAAGTTTGACTGTTGTAACTGTTAGGAGAAGAGTAAAACAAAGGATTTTTACTAAGGCAGAAGTCGTAACTTTTCATTCAAACAATAGATTTTTAAATTACAAAACTTGTAACTCTACAATAAAGACACTTAACATCACAATAAACTCACATAATCTCAGAAACTTAAAAACATAAAACGAACATTTAACGTTTGCTGAATTAAACCCATTAAAAACTAAATTGATTGCTGAATTAAACCCATTAAAAATTAAACTGACACATAACTCCACATTTAACGTTTATTTAACAAAACTCCCCCGTAAACTTAAATGCTTCTGCCATCCTTCATGCCGATCAATTTCTTGTAGTTGTCAAGGAGTACCGTCAGTAGCGGTTTCGTGAAGATATCTGCGACTTGCTCTTGACTGGTCACATGTGTTAGCTCCACATTTCCTTCCTTTACTTGATCCCGGATGAAGTGAAATCGGACGTCAATATGCTTGCTTCTTTCATGATTTACCGGGTTCTTGGCTAGCTCTATAGCCGACTTATTGTCAATTCGGATCACAGTTTGGCCGACTTGTTTTTCCTCCAGCTTGCTTAGCAAATTCCTGAGCCACATTGCATGACAAACACACCAAGATGCAGCTACATATTCAGCTTCACATGTTGACAGTGTCACAATAGGTTGCTTCTTCGAAATCCAAGTGAATGCCGTGTTGCCCATGAAAAACACATAATCAGCCGTGCTCTTTCGATCATCTACGTCTCCACACCAATCACTGTCAAAATATCCAATCAACTTGTATTTTGCCGAGCTCGAGTAGTGTAACCCGTGTGAAACTGTACCTTGAACATACCTCAGAATTCTCTTTACCGCCTTCCAATGTGTGTATCTTGGCTCCTCCATGAACCGACTTACTATGCCGACACTCAACGAGATATCCGGCCTCGTGCATGTGAGATAGCGTAGGCTTCCCACCAAACTTCTGTACTTGCTTGCATCAACACGGTATCCTCCATCAAACTTAGAAAGTTTTGAACCGGGTTCCATTGGTGTTGAAACCGGGTTGCAATCTTCCATCTTGTACTTTTTCAAAATTATTTTTGCATAAGCCTCCTGTGACACGAAGATTCCCTTCTCATTTTGTTTTACTTCCAAACCGAGAAAGAACTTCATAAAACCGAGATCTGTCATTTCGAACTCTCTTGTCATTGTGCTCTTGAACTCTTGTATCATCTTGGCATTGTTTCCCATAAAAATGAGGTCGTCAACATAAAGAGCCACAATTAACAAGTCTCCTCCATTTTTCTTGACATAAACAGCATGTTCATATGGACACTGTTCAAGTCCATTCTCCTTGAAATATTTGTCAATACGAGCATTCCATGCTCGTGGTGCTTGCTTCAACCCGTAAAGTGCTTTCTTCAATCTCAGCACCTTCTTCTCTTCTCCTGCCTTCATGTAGCCCGGCGGTTGTTCCACATAAACTTCTTCTTCAAGAACACCATTCAGGAATGCCGACTTTACATCCATTTGATGTATTGGCCATCTGTATTGAGCAGCCTGTGAGATGAGTAGCCGAATTGTCTCCATCCTTGTAACAGGGGCAAACACCTCGTCATAGTCAATTCCAGCCTTCTGCTTATAACCTTTTGCAACTAGCCGAGCTTTATATCGTTCTATCTCCCCTCGAGCATTCATCTTCTTCTTGAACACCCACTTCACTCCAATGGGCCGACTTCCTTTTGGTAGCTCGGCTAACTCCCATGTGTTATTTCGGTCAATGGCTTCTATCTCCTCATCCATGGCGTCTTGCCATTTCTTATCTCGGATGGCTTCTTCAAAGCTTATATTTTCAGAATCTGCAAGAAGACAAACAAAATGTACCTCACTTGTTGACTCATATATGTCTTGTATGCTCCGCATCCTGGGTTGTCGTACCTCGTCTTCATCATCAGAAGCTTCAGGACTTGCCGGGTTGATAATTTGTGTTGTGATTCCGTCTTCAAAGTTTATCTCAGATGAATTGCTCCAGTCCCACTCATTTGCTTCATTGAGCTTTATATCTCTGCTCACTATGACTTTCTTGTTGACGGGGTCAAACAGCTTATACCCCTTTGTTTTTTCATCATATCCAATAAAAACATATTTCTTGCTTTTATCCTCGAGCTTGGTTCTGAGCTGGTCCGGTATGTGTGCATAGGCCACACTACCAAAAACTCTGAGATGAGCCACTGAAGGCTTTTGACCGAAGAAAGATGCATTTAAGTTTACGGGGGAATTTTGTTAAGTAAACGTTAAATGTTAACCTTATGACTCATAAACTATCCATTTTTCTTGACATAAACAGCATGTTCATATGGACACTGTTCAAGTCCATTCTCCTTGAAATATTTGTCAATACGAGCATTCCATGCTCGTGGTGCTTGCTTCAACCCGTAAAGTGCTTTCTTCAATCTCAGCACCTTCTTCTCTTCTCCTGCCTTCATGTAGCCCGACGGTTGTTCCACATAAACTTCTTCTTCAAGAACACCATTCAGGAATGCCGACTTTACATCCATTTGATGTATTGGCCATCTGTATTGAGCAGCCTGTGAGATGAATAGCCGAATTGTCTCCATCCTTGTAACAGGGGCAAACACCTCGTCATAGTCAATTCCAGCCTTCTGCTTATAACCTTTTGCAACTAGTCGAGCTTTATATCGTTCTATCTCTCCTTGAGCATTCATCTTCTTCTTGCAGATTCTGAA